TGTATCTAAATGTGATGAAAGAATTATTTTTATAGTTGTAGAGAAATACCTTACCCATATAGTTATGGCATATTTTATAAAAAGGTTTTCTGATCTATTATCACATTTGATTTACAAAAACTCCATAAATTAGAGCCATGTCAAAACAAGAAAAAGAAGAAAGAGGACATGGGCAGTTTTATTAAAGGAAGTAGTTCTCAAAGAATATGTTTTGAATGAATGAGATTCCTTATTCTAATTTAAAAACAAAATCTCATTACCATATTATCTAGCAATCCCATTTCTGGGTACATATCTCAAAAAATTGAAAACAGGGACTTGAACAGATATTTATACATTCATGTTCACAGCAGCATTATTCACAATAGCCAAAAGGTGAAAGAAATCCAAGTGTCCATCAACAGATGAATGGACCCACAAAATATGGCATATACATATAATGGAGTATTATTCAGCTTTAAAAAACCAAATTCTGACACATGCTACGACCTGGATGAATCTTGAGAACATTATGCTAAGTGAAATAAGTCAGTCACAAAAAGATAAATATTGTATGATTCTACTTATATGAATTATCCAGAGTAGTCAAATTCATAGAAACAGGAAGTAGAATTGTGGTTGCCAGGAGCTGGGGGTGGGAGATTTAGAGAGTTATAGTTTTAAAAATTTTATTTTAAAAATTTTAGAGTGATGGGGTACATGTGAGGATTTACTACATAAGTAACTGCACGCAGGTGAGGTTTGGGCTTCCAGCAGGCTCTCTCTCCCCCTGAGGACTGGCTTTAGCTTAGTGGTTCCTTTGAGAGCTATTTGGCCAGGCTTGGTGGCTCAGCCTGTAATCCCAGCACTTTAGGAGGCCCAGGCGAGTGGATTGCCTGAGCCCATGGGTTTGAGACCCACCCGGGGAACTTGGCGAGACCTCATCTCTACAATAAATCAAAAATTAGGGTACACCTGTAGTTCCAGCTACTGGAAAGACTGAGGTGGAAGGATCGCCAGAGCCCAGCAGATGGAGGCTGTGGTGGCTGGGAGTGTGCCACTGCATTCCAGTCTGTGCGACAGAGTGAGATTCCAACTCAAAAAAATAAATAAACAAAGAGAGAGAGAGTTATTATTTAATGGGTAGAGTTTCAGTTTTGCAAGATGAAAAAGGTCTGGAGATTGGATGCCCAACAATGTGAATATAGTTAAATATACTGAACAATACTGAAGTGCATACTTACAAATGATTAAGATAACTAATTTTATGTTGGGTGCATTTTCCACAGTAAAAAACAAAATACCATTTCCAACCCCTGCATCACACAAACCTGTCCAAAAACCTCTTCGTTAACGGTGAAAGTGAGGTCTAAAATATCTGTGATATTGTTGTCCTTCATCCATTGCAAACTCTGGTGGAATTCCTCATCCAAATATTCCAGGTCACTCAGATCACAGGGCCTGGGTGAATTCAAGGGGGGAAAGGCAAATAGAATTACTGAACCAATGACTGCCCAGATCTCATTCCACAATGTGGTTATACTCTTCCTGGCTAAAACATCGCAGACTTATTCTAACGATTTGATACTTTCGAACATACTGATGAATCAGTTCATATGGTTATTTTAATCCATTCAACAATTTTCATTTGAAAAGGAAATGTTAACATATTTGCAATCATAACCATGAAATAATTGTTAACTCATGGACTCTTTCCTTGGTGAATGGAGAGAAGTATCATTTTAAGACTAAGTTATAAATAGATCGATTCTACTTAATAATTTAATGTAATGCTTATAATACTATAATTTTTAAATGAACTGATTCATCTCTAATAATTTTTAAATGAACTGATTCATGTCATTATATGACATTTGGATAATAGTCTTCCCCTACACCAATGCAAAATCCCCAAAGGTACTAAAAGGCATATATGATACCTAAGCACTTCGAACAGGAAACCTCCATGAACCTGACAGGAGTGGTTAGGGCAAAACAGGGTAAAAGGGTCAGAGGTGCCAGAGAGGTCAGGCACCTCATCCTGCAAACAGGGCTGGGTTGGAGCCATGGTCTGCAAAACACTTACAGTCTCAGGAGTGCCTTGTAGAAGGGCCTCGTGAAGAAAGCATCAAGAAGGTACTGATGGATTAGGGCCAGGCCTAGGATACGACCGCTAAACCTGAACCTGGAGCACAGACAAGGCAGAGAAATATAAGGGTAAGTGGGAATTTACATAGTTAAATATTTTCATTGGTATTTTTTATTTGTTGTGTTTCTTTTTAGTATTCATCTTAAGTTGCTTAAGTCATTTGTTTATTGATGATGTAAGCGAGGCACCCATTCTCCTCCTTATTATTATTATTATTTTTTACCATAAATAATGCCTGTGTGCATAGAATGTACAAAAGGAATCCTCCTCTCCCCCACATACCAGACTAGAGTCATTTTTCCGGAATCTCTTTCACACCTGGGAGTATGAGGACCCGAGAAGAGGAAAGCACTGGGGAAGGGAAATCAGGAATCTTAGATAAATAACCCACATTGAACCAGGGGAAGACCTGAACCCAAGGACACAGAAAGTTTTCTGGATGGTACATCCTTACCCATTCAAGCACTCAAGCATTCTATAAACACCACCTGTAGGTCCACGCTGGCATTTGGTTGTGTTTGCAGAGAGCGGGGAAGAGTTGCATGGAATCACAATGTGGTAAGAGATAAGCTGAGTGAATATTGCCAGTCACATACCAAGATAGAACCAGGTCACTGCTAGGAAGAACTGGTCATTGTAGACCTGGCCACCTTCAGACTTGAGTGTTTTTACTGATTTAAGTTCTTGTTGGGGCAATTAACTTCCTGAAATTTTTGCTGGTGACCTGCTTAGCTAAGTGCTGAGGCAACCTGGGGCTTAATCCCATCTATGCCCTACCCCTAAAACAGCTTCTTGTCTACCTGACCTAGCACCCAATGGTTTCCCTACCATGTAGGCCTTGCCCATCTCTGGGGGTTTCCCTGGTCTCCTGTTAACTAGGTTTTCACCTAATCATGGCCATGGTTGTGATACACACACACACACACACACACACACACACACACACACACACACACACACACACTTATATATATATATATAAAATATATATATATTTTAATCCTCAAGAGACAAAAAATTCCTCTGCTATTGAAACAGTTCCGGAAATCAGAAAAGGGTGGAAGACTTAATATATCATTATGAACTACCATAATCACAAAATGGAACGTGAAAAATATAACATAATTCTTTCTTTTTGCTCCCATTTCCCTCCTTTCCATACCATTCTTTTAAAACTTTCCCCCATCTTTTCAAAGTCTGGACTACACTGTGATTTTGGGCCTTCATGTGTGAAGTGGAGGCTAACTTTTAGAATGGTATCTCTAATTGCAAGTCAGTTCATTCTTCTTAACTAGTCCTAAGGGAAATATCATAAGAAAGAAAACTAAGGCCATTTCACTTGCACACAGAAAATTCCTAAATAAAATGCAAGAGAATGAAACCTACCAACTTATTCTCAGAACAACGCAAAAATGATTAAGGATGTTTAGTTTTAGGAAACTAAGGATAGTTTAGCATTAGGAATTTTATGATTAAAATTAATTATAAGGTCAAAGACAAAAATCATATGGTTTCCCTCCCTCCCTTCCTTCCTTCCTTTCTTTCTTTTTGTTTAAAAGCTGAAAAGTTACTTGAAAATATCCACCACTAATTTCTGGAGAAAAAAATTCTTTTGTAATAAACCAGGAACAGAAGAATACTTTCTTAATGTGATGAAGAACGTCTATCTCAATAATAAATTTAATAGTAAAAATACAGAAGGATGCTGGTTATCACCACTCTTCATAATATTCCATTCGTTCTAGTCTTTGCAGCTAAGTATAAACAAAAAATTGGATACAGATTAGAAATAACTGTTATTGAATGTATATTGGACCAATGCGTGTTATTTGTAATATCTCATTGAACCTTGCAACAACTCTGTTTTACAGTTGTGGCTATTTCCATTTTACAGACTAAGAAACTGAGGGTCAATGATTAGTCTCAAGACAGTGGTATATGGAGGAAACCCACCCATATCTGGCTGATTTAAGACTTTTCCTTTGTGTCTATTTTGGGAAGTGGACAATGGAGCAGTTACTACTCAGGTCTCTGGGAGCAGGTAGTCTGGGGTATGACTGGTATAAGGGCCTAACCTCCCTGTTTTCAGTTTTCTCTTCTGGAAAACATCACTCTTTAAATGTTATCTATAATTACTATTTGCTATTAGTAATTTGTGTTGGCTACCAACCCCTCCTGTGCTAATTAAAATATTTTGGGCTGGGCGCAGTAGCTCATGCCAGTAATCCCTAGCCCTTTGGGAAGCTGAGGTAGGAGGATTGCTTGAGGCCAGGAGTTCAAAGCATGCCTGGGCAACAAAGCAAGATCCCATCTCTACCAAAAAAAAAATAACATAAAAAAGAAATATTTTGGTTCAGGTAAGCTTCAGCTAGCTTAAGGCAAAGGGGGAATTCATTATAGGACCACAGCAGTGTCTCAAGGAATCCAGGGCCAGGAATGCAGTTGGGTCCTAGGAACATGAGGGACGTGAGTGGCTTTACCCTTTCTTGTCCAGTTTCTCCTCTTGGCTCCTCTCTGCTCCTTTCTTTCTCACTGTCAGCGCCTCCTATGGTTTATATGCTGGAGTTCAAGTGCCAGGGAGACCAATTTGATTCTCTCTGCTCTAGGTCCAAATTTTCTGTATGATTCACTAACTGCTCTAATTCAGGTTAGATGCCTGCCCTAGATCAATCATGAGTGACCAGGGAGGAAATCTCAGTCTCAAGTACTTTGCAGCTAGGACCACAGTTGGGTGCCTCTCAACCAGAGGATGGGATCAGATGGAGTGCAGGAGATGGAGTCTTTCCTAGCATAGGGGACTGCAGTGTAGACCATCAAGAGAGACTTGTATATTTGCTTTGAATGGGGTAGACAATAAGATGGAAATTCTATAGACAAAAACACACCGGTATTGTAGGCTGATGTGGGCAATGAATAGGCCTAGATATATATTTTTATAACTGTGAAAGCAAGTTAGGATAATGCGATTTGTCTTTAAGTAAACACAGACAGGATAGCCAGCTTAGTATATACAGTAAAATATATTCCAGAGTGATGAACTATGATCATCGATGTGCGTGTATAAGGTCTAATACAGTGACTATAAAATTCAAATTCAAAACAATAGCTTAAATGGCACAGATTGGCTTGGAAAGTTTTTATCAGTTGATGAGTTGCTGTGGCATACAACTCCATGAACGACAAAATACCTTCTAGGAATTGCACACCTCCTTTACTTATCTCCTTTTTTTAAATCTCACCTAGCTTAAATGACTGCTGTGGGAACCTTGATTACATGTGTTGCTAACATAGGATACAAATGTGTAGGAAGTATGAAACAGAGAGAAAATATGTTTCTTTAGAGTCTGCATCCAAGATAGTGTGTCCACATACACAGAAAGAAGACAACCCAATAAACTATTCACATAATTTAAGCCCACCCCAAAAGTGTTTCTGTTTCGATCGAAGTTACTTGGCACAGGTAAAGAGTTCTGAGGATGATTTACTTATTTATTTATTTCTTAGAAGTGGAGTCTCACTATGCTGCCCAGGCTGGTCTTGAACTCCCGGGCTCAGGCAGTCCTCTTGCCTCGGCCTCCCAAAATGCTGGGGTTACAGGAGTGAGCCACCATGCCTGGCCCTGATGATGGATTAAAATAAGACCCTCCAGAAGTAGCAGAGCCCCTCCCCTTGCCTGTGGGTATCTATGTGTTATTTTAATAGCTGGGCCTCAGGGCCCCCAGTTCAAGAGTCCCTGTGTGTGAACTTCCAGGGACACAGTCACTTCTTTCTCTCTGGGGGTCCCAGAAGGAGTCTGATATTGCAGGCCAGCCCTGCTTTTGGGGTGTGGTGCTGTTCCCTCTTTTTCTGGGCTGCTTTTTCTTGAGGCCGTGCTTGAACACAACTTCTATTGCCTCAGTCTCTGCAGCTCAGTACATCGCGGATGTGTGGTTCATATATCACGTGTTCTAGTGCTGCCCCTGCCCGCCCCAGGCTGCTGTCCGTGATCCTCTCTTCTCTGTGGCCTGTGTTCAACTTAACTTTGCCAGTAGGGAATGGTTCCTCTGTGTTGACCTGCTCTGTTAGAAGGGCCTCATGGTGAGTGGACTGGGCTCTGAGAGTTTACAGGGACTGCTTCCGAAGTTTGCTCACTGTCCTTTAATCCCTATGGTGGCCAGGTCCCGGTGAGTTTAGAGAATAGCCACCAACACTCATTCAGATCTAACCCTCAAGCTGTGTTGGCCATTCCAGCTTCCTGTGCTATTCTTCTGCTTCTCTTGGGCTGTATCTGAAGGGTCCCCAGGTTCCCTCCTCAGAATTTGCTTTCTGTCACCAAATTGCAAGTACATTAGACATGCCCACATGTGTCTGAGTTGCAGTGATGGGTTCCATTCAACTTCTCTTCATAGGCGAGGCCTCAGTCCCAAGGCACACCAGCAGATGCAAATGCATATGATATGCAGGTGGCTAAGGACAAGAGAAGACAAGACATGTCACCCCACGGGAGTCCTTCCCCTGGGCTCAACCTTTTCTCCATTCTAACCACCTGATGGATGTAACACCCTGATGGGTCAGGAATGGAGCCTCCCTTGGGCAGTGGAGCGGGAAGAGAGTCTCTTCTTCAGGCTCTGTTTTGGGTGTAATTTTAAACCTATATGTTATCACCATAAGACACATTTCCAACTTTTTTCTTTGAGGACTCACTCTGTTGCCCAGGCTGGAGTACAGTGGCGCAATCACAGCTCACTGCAGCCTCGACCTCCCGGACACTCAGGTGATCCTTCTGTCTCAGCCTTCCAAGTAGCTGGGACTATAGGCACACACCACCACACCCAGATAATTTTTAAAAAATTTTGTAGGATGAGGTCTCGCTATGTTGCCTAGGTTGACCTCAAACTCCTGGGCTCAAGCAAACCTTCCACCTTGGATTCCCACAGTCCTGGAATTATAGGTGTGAGCCACTGTGCCTGGCCACATTCCCAACTGCTAAAAAATACATAAAGTATACTTTTCCATTTATTTGCCAATTGAGACATGCATTTATGCAGAAACCCATT